TATCCTTCTGCCTAAAGAAAATCCCTTCAACATTTCTTGTAGTACATGCCTGCTAGTAATGAATTTTCAGCTTCTATGTGTATGAAAGTCTATTACACCTTTATTTTTGAAAGATATTTTTGCTGAGAACAGAATTGTATGTTGACAGTATTATTCTTACAGTACTTTAAAGTTGTTGCTTCATCATCTTGTCATGTGCATCATGTCCAGTGTGAAATCTGCTTTCATTTTAATCTTTGTATCTCTGTATAGAATGTCTTTTTCCCCCGGCTTTCTTTCCTCTATCATTGGTTTTAATAAATTTTGATTATAATGTGTTTCTTGTGCTTGGGGCTTATAGTTTTCAACAAATTTGAAAAAATATTGGCCATTATTCATTCAAATATTTTTCTTTCCCTTCTCCACTGCTCTTTCAGTGACTCCAATTATACATATACTAGACTACTTGAAGTTGTTCCACAGCTAACAAATTCTCCATTTTTCCCCCATCTTTTTTCTCTGTTTCATTTTGGAATGTTTCTATCACTGTCATCAAGTTCATTAATCTTTTCTTCGGCAATGACTACTATACTGTAGTCACACCCTCTGTATTTTTTTTAAATCTCAGACATCATAGTTTTCATCTCTAGTAATTGGATCTGTGTCTTTTGAAAAATATTTTCCATGCCTCTGTTCAACCTTTCCTCTACCTTCCTGAACTTATGGAATACCATGATATTAACTCTTTAATGTTCTTTTATAGTAATTCATTCATTGGTGTCATTTTTTAGTCAGTTTCAATTGATTGATTTTTCTCCTCTTACTGGGTTGTATATTCCTGCTGTTTTGCATCCCTGTTAAATTTTTATTGAATGCCAGACTGTAAATTTTACTTTGACAACTACTGGATATTTCTGTATTCGTATAACTATCCCTGAGCTTTGTTCTAAAAAATAGTTAAGTCACTTGAAAAGAGTTTGATCCCTTGGTCTTGCTTTTAAGTTTCATGAGGTAAAACTAAAACAGTATATAGTCTAAGGCTGATTTTGCCTTGCTACTGAGGCAAACCTTTTTTGAGTTTACTACCTGATGTCCTGTGAATTATGAGATTTCTCATTCTGGCTGGGGAAAACTGGAACTATTCCCATCCCTATTCGATCTCTGAATACTATTCCTTCTAACCTTTTACAGTGGTTCCTGTCTCCGTAAGTGTTTTTATCTTTTTGTGCTTTGAAAATGCACCATTCCTCAGTCTGTGGCTTATGGTATAAACTCAAAGCTCTGAATCTCCAGGGCTCTTAGCCTGGTAAAGCTCGAAATCCTGTTCTCCAGGTTTTTATCTCTTTTATCAGCTTTATAGGGTTTGTTTTGAAATTCAAAGGAAAGAATTTGGCTCTTCATTCTTGCTGGGTTCTTTTCTGGCTTCCCTTCACTGAGGCAAAAATTCTCAGCCCTGGAGTCTAGTTTTTATAGCATAAGGGCTGCAAGATAAAATAGAACTGCTAAGAAGGAAAATTTTCTATAGTATTTCAAAATACTATCCCATTACACATATTTTGGTGATAATTCTTCCTCCTCCCCTTCCCCTGCCCCCTCCTCCTCTTCTTCTTTCCCTGCTTTTTCCTCCTCCTCCTCCTTCTTCTTCCTCTCATTCTCATTACATGGCTTAATTCCTTGGCTTTCCATGCAACACAAGGAAACATTGTCTTTGGAAATCTAAAAGAATTGGCCACTTCCAAGATTGGTTACCCGGGACAAGTTACTTCAAAGTCTCCATTACTGATGAGGGAACAGAAGGCAAAGCTGAGGACAACCCTCCCCCCCCCCCCCCCCCCGCCCACATGAGGGATCTATGTGACATTCCTTAGGCACTCCTGGCTGCCCTAAAGGAAAAACAAATAGTTAACCTATAGGGATCACAATCCTACAAGACAGGAGTCTCCCTCAGTTTACAAATGTCTTAGCAATCTATAAGAACAAAGCATTTCTGGGCGCCTGGGTGGCTCAGTTGGTTAAGCGACTGCCTTCGGCTCAGGTCATGATCCTGGAGTCCTGGGATCAAGTCCCGCATCGGGCTCCCTGCTTGGCAGGGAGTCTGCTTCTCCCTCTGACCCTCCCCCTCTCATGCTCTCTCTATCTCATTCTCTCTCTCAAATAAATAAATAAAATCTTTAAAAAAAAACAAAAAAAACAAAAACAAAGCATTTCTATCAATGGCCTAGCTTCCAGAAGGGAATGTAGATACAATTAAATGTCCTTATAATCTGCAGCCCATTTACAGATACTTGAAGCGGGCAAAGTGTAATATCTCTCCAGGAAGCTCCCAAATATCTGACTGTTAATGCCTTACTAGAAGGAAAAACACCTTAACTTGACAATGGCAAGGCCTCTGGTATCCTGTGAGTCTTCTTTAACATACAAAAATCCTTTTGAAACCTCCCTTTTCCTTACCTCCCCCAACTCCCAAGTATATAATCAGCCACCCCCTCACAACCCCAGGGCAGCAGCTCTTTCTGCCCACAGGTCTTGTCCCCGTGCTTTAATAAAATCGCCTTTATGTACCAGAGACGTCTTAAGAATTCTTTCTTGGTCTTCGGCTCCGGACCTCACTTATATTCTAAAACTTCATCATTACTTCATTTGTGAAATGGGAATAACAATAATTTTCATAATCCAATGAGGATTAAATGAGTTATTATGTACAAAGTGCCTGCCACCATATATGATATATAATAGCACCTTAATAAGTTTTTAGCCTTCAATAAGGAAATATTTTTGTAGTGTCAAATAAATTCTTTATGTGAAAGAGATTTAAATATAGGCTAAAGGTTTTGGGGTGCCTGGGTGGCTCAGTTGGTTAAGCATCTGACTCTTGATCTCAGCTCAGGTCTTGATATCAGGGTCATGAGTTCAAGCCCCACACTGGGGGCTTTAAATATATATATATACATACTAAAGGTTTTATTTGGCTGATGTACAGTACATCAGGTAACACTTGAAGATCAGGCGAATCCTCAATTGAAGCAGAGTCAGAATTTTTATATGATATGGGAAAGTATGGGTCCTTGCAGTTTTGGCTTAGAAACAGGGTTTTTTATTGTTGTTGTTTGCTTGTTTTTATTTTAACTGAAACTGAAAATTGGGGGCCATTCCTGTTTTCATGCCCCTGCTTGAGATTAGTTGGTGCAATCCTAATAGCCATCAGAATAGTATTGTCACAGAACTGGTTTTGCAAGCTATGTAATTTATTAGCTAATCAAGGTTCATAGGGCAGGGGAGGTAGATAGCAAAAAGAAAGAAAAAGAGGCAAAGACAGAAAGCAAGGGAGAAACTGAAGATGCGTGGTCATGTGTGTCTTAGGCCTTTTATAGGGAAGCAAATTACAGGATGTTAGAGATATTTCCTATTGTGTTAATGAGAATTCACTTATATTCAAGAGAAAGGCAACTAAAACAAAACATGAAGGAAATAGATCACTTTATTCTTGATCTGAGATCTTTTTTATAACTTTATGGTTACAAAAGTAATAAATTTAAAAAATAAAACATGTATAAATAGGCGATGGGGATTAAGGAGTGAGTGCATTTGTGATGAGTACAGTGTGTTGTATGGAAGTGTTGAGTCACTATATGGTACACTTGAAACTAATATTACACTGTATGCTAACTAACTGGAATTTAAATAAAAACTTGAAAAACAAAACTAAAACAGAACTATAAAGAAGAAAAAAACAAAACAAAACACCATCACCCAAGATGACCACTATTAATGTTTTAGATTACATCTCTCTCTAGTTTTTCAATGCATTTGTAAGCCAGATACATCTACTCCCTTATAAGCTGGCTCTGGAGTCCTAGAGAATATTTCCCCATTTATTTCTCTTTAAATTCTCTCTCTCTCAAAATAAAAAAATAAAATAAAATAAAAAATAAAGGTGAGGGGAGGGAAAGGAGTAAAGAAAAAAGGCTTTAGTAAGCAATTAGGCTTTACTGAAGATTTTTTAGTGGGCTGTCTCCACAGTCAACAAATTTAGAATCTGCCTTAGATATTTTTATTCTCCCAAACTCCTCCTCAATGCAGCCTGCCCCGACATCCTAGGTAGCTCCTCTCTCCTGGCTCTGTTACCACTCTTCCCTCCCTGTAGAGCTCTTTTCTAGCATTTACTTTCGAACCTACATATATAAACTCATCATGGAGATCAATAAAACAGAGGGCAGTTTACCAACTTTTGAAATTGAATATCCAGCTTGGAGTCTTAAACCTCACTCCAAATAGTTTATTAAGGCATTCTCTCCAAATAAGTACAAGATTCTCCCCAAAAGGCATTTAGTAAATAATATTTTCTCCATATTATTACATATATACATACTTATAACATACTTACATTCTTTCTTCTTTTCAAAATTAATATTATCCTCTTTATAAAGCTTTGTATCCTACTTTTACAGTCTACTTGATACAGTGAGCATTTTCTATTCTTTACAGATTCTTTATAAACTCTATTTTATAGCTACATAAAATAAACAATACTGTTAGGTATTAGGTTGAATCTCGTAAAATTGATGTTTTTGTATTTCGATAACAGTCAAATATTAGCATTTTCATATGGTTCATTCTAGTAACTATTCCCTTACGGTTGAGCATTTAGAATGTTTCCCACTTTTCCTATAATAATTAATGCTATGATGAGTATTATTATACACAAATCTTTGATGTTATCTCTGGCTAACATTTTAAGCTCTATTCCTTGAAGTGAGATCATACTAGGTCAAATTGTATAAATAATAATAATAAAGTAACCTTTTTCCATAAAGGTTGTACCAATTCTGGTTCCCACTAATAGTTCAGGAGTATCTCCATCTTACTATACCCTGGACAGCATTACTGCTACTAAAAAACTGAGACTCAACAAATAGTATTTCATTATTGTTTATCTTTGCAATAATTTAATTGCTGGTGAGAATGACCAGTTTTTCATTTTCATTCACCATATATAATATTAGTTGTGTGTGTAATTCTTCTAATTCTTCTTTGCCCAGTTTTCCCATTAGTATTATTTTCAAAATAAGGATCCCAATCCTTCATTTATCATATCTGCTGCAAATATTTCATGGCAATTTAACATTTAACTATTATAAGAGCTTCAGAAAGAGACAGGAAATATTAGGCCACCATTATTGCCCAAAGGCAAGAGATAAACTTAGTTCTTCAAGTAGCTTATGGTTCTACTGCTCTAAGCACACAAGTGATGTCTATATTCTATTTGGGAAACACTGTGGTCTCTGAGGTAATATTAGAAAGAAAATAGAATCCAACAACAGCTATACAGTCATTTAGTTTTACTTACTAGTTTTCTGTTTGCTCTTTTAATGTTTAAGAAAGAAACATTTTCGGGGGGCCCCGAGTGGCTCAGTTGGTCAGCATCCAACTCTTGATCTCAGCTCAGGTCTTGACCTCAGGGTCGTGAGTTTGAGCCCCGTGTTGGGTTCCATGTTGAGCATGGAGCCTACTTAAAAAAAAGAAAGAAAACATTTTAGAAGGCATCATTGATTATGGACAGAAATATATGTCAATGTACCTATTTACAATCTAAATGTAACTCCAACCACAAATACTAGACAAATAGTAATGACCAGATCTTTCCTTTCACCCTTTACTTCTGGTCTCAGTTCTCCACTAATTAGATCATTAGATATGTAACCTTGGATGAGTCATCTAACCTGTTTAAGCTTGGATTTCCCAATATGTAAAATGAGGATATTGGACTAGTTGATTTCAAATGACCTTCTAGCTATAAATGTGATACTCTTATAACTATACTCCATTCACATGTCAAATATTCACTGAACATCAATTATGTTCTAGGCAGCAGGCTAAATGTTGACTATTAAAACCAATTCTACCACTCATTGAACATTTACATGACAGGCACTGTGGTAAATGTTTTACATATATTTTCTCATTTATTTCAATCTCCACAATAGTCAGGAAGTAGATGCTATTATAGCAATTTTATAGCCAAAAACTGAGACCCAGAAGGTTTAAATAATAGCTGGTTAGTATGAGCCAGGATTCAAACCCAGGAATCTCTGACTCCCAAGCCCATGTTTAACCAGAATATCATGCTGCCACCAAGGAGCTTATGGTCCAATATGTCTCAAAATGTAGTCCTCAAACCACCTGCATCAGAATGATTTTGGGTACTTATTTAGAATGAGGATATTCAGACTTTACTCAAGTTTACTGAAACCAGTATCTATGGAGTAGAGTCTATATTTTCTCTTGTTTTCTTTTCTCTTGTTTTCTTTTCTTTTTTCCTTTTTTTAAATTGAAGTATAATTAACATGCAGGGTTGTATTAGTTTCAGGTATAGAATGCAAATTGGTACAGCTACTATGGAAAGCAGTATGGAGGTTCCTCAAAAAATTAAAAATATGGGGCACCTGGGTGGTTCAGTCATTGGGTGTCTGCCTTCAGCTCGGGTCGTGATCCCAGAGTCCTGGGATCGAGCCCCGCATCCGGCTCCCTGCTCAGCGGGAAGGCTGCTTCTCCCTCTCCCACTCCCCCTGCTTGTATTTCCTCTCTTGCTGTGTCTCTCTCTGTCAAATAAATAAAATCTTTTTAAAAAAATTAAAAATATAATTACCATATGATCTAGTAATTCCACTACTGCGTATTTACCCAAGAAAACGAAAACACAAATTTGAAAAGCTATATGTACCCCTATGTTTATCATAGCATTATTTACAATAGCCAAGATATAGAAGCAACCCAACGGCCCATCAGTAAGTGAATGGAATCTATATTTTAAATAAATGATTCTGCTTAGATGATTCTTATGCACACTAATTCTCAAGCCTACTACATCATTCATAATTTGTCTACATTCACTAGTTAGTTAATGAGTGAACACTATGTACAAGTCACACCATACTAGGTGCTGTGTTAAGTACATTTTTGTATGAGACATTTGTGTCAGACTCCAAGCAAGGGACATGACAATAAGACACATACAAATACCTCCAGTGTAGAACATTTGTGGAATCTTTGAGATCTTGCCTTAACTGCTATAATTGCTGCTCTGTATTTGCTGTTATATTGTTTTATTTATGCATGTATTATCTTTGTCAAATAGAATGTGAATCCTTTAGAGGCTTCTATTCATCTTTTATTTTCATTTGTTCTTCTGGAAAATATTATTAAGTACCTACTTAGTGCCAAACATTATGTGGACACTGGCACTATGCTGGTAAGCAAAATTCAGACTCAGTTCCTTCATGGAGCTTTTGGCCTAGCATGAAAAAATCCATTACTGAAATAATCAGAAAAATGTAAACACAAATAATTAGATAAATGTAGTAAACAAAAATTGCTACTGTAATGCATGATATAAACAAAAATTATATTCTGCTAAAAAAAAGCTTACAAAAAAAGAATCTGATCTGGTCAGAAAAGTCTGACTTCCCTAAGGAAGCAACTTTTGAATTAAGATCTGAAAGACATGTAACCACTAATTAGGTGAAAGGGAGGAAAGAGAAGGAAATATCTAAGAAAAGCATATAGCATGTGAAAGGGCATTTGTAGAAGATGGGTACATGGCAAGAACTGATAGACAAGGAAAATTAGAGTGGAGAAAATGAAAAAACACTTAAGAAGTCACCAGATGTCAAACAGTATAAGGCATTATAGGCCAGGTGAAGAATTTTGTCTTTATCTTGAAATAACAGCAAAGCAATGAACGGATATACTGGTTATTCTCCATTTGCTCTGCCCCACCCTCAGACCCATTCTCCATTTAGAGCCCTGAGAGGCTAAAACCACATATTGCATCACCTGGGCTCATTGTCAGATGGTTTCTATTTATATTTAGCCAAGGGGAAGCACCTGCAGGAGAGTGGCAAGAAGAAAGAAGAGAAAGAGTATTTCTTCTCTACTCATCCTACTTTAGGGTCTCAGTTCTAGTAGCAGTTGCATAGCTGAGCAATGACTCCTGCCCAGTAGGCCCTCCTCCAGGGCTCTGGGCTCCAAGAGCACTGTCCATCTTTTTGTCCCCTCAGGCCTGAGGATGGTAATGGCTTCCTCCTGTTGGTCTCTGGGTGCCTCAGCATTTCTCTTTGGTTTTCTTAACCCTGCCCACATCTTTGAAGGTAGTCCTTTCATTAAAGCCTTTTCCTCTGAATGGAACTGTTTCCTGCTGGGACCATAACAAGTGAGGCATTCAGGGGCCTAGTAAAAAGACCCATACAAAGTGACACACAATAAATATCTAGTAACCAAAACACCAGACTAACTTAACTTACTCCAGTCATAGGACACCCCATGGAATTTTCTTTGTCTCTTATTTCCACTGATTACTTTATTCTTAGTAGTTGGTCTTCTTAATTACTAAAAGATTCTTGAAGGACTAAAACCATTACCATTCATACACACAGGTCCTAGCCATCCAAAGGCATTAGGGTGAACAAGGTCTTTGTAATGTAGACATAAAAAACATGGACTTGGATCAGAGAAACCTGGATTTAGTTCTTTGCTCTGCCACTTAATAGTCATATGCCCTTAGGCATGTTTTACTCTCTGAATCCCTATTTCCTATGTAAAATGGGAATGTTAATACTTATCTTTCAGGATTCTTATGAATATTAAATAAAATAAAGGGTTAGTAGAAAGAAGTCACTTAATAAGTGGTAGCTACTATTACTATTACATCTATTTATCCAGGATGAAAAGGAAAACCACATTCTTAAAATTAATATATATTCATGGTTTTTAAAAATAGAGAAAAATATAAAGTATAAAATAAAAAGTAAAAGCCCCATTTCTTTCCTTCACCTCCTAATTCTACTTCTGAGTGCTGCTGTTAAAAGTTGGCTATGTATCTTTATACACATTTTCTATACATATACACTGCGTTTGAAGAATAAAGATGGAATCATACATGTTGGGAAGGGGAAGAATCAACACTGCTCTTCTTTCTGACTGAGATATTCTGAGGTGTGCGTGCATCACAACAATCCCACAAAATTCAGATACCACCCTAATATCAGTGCCATCCACAAAAAAGTACAATTTTGAAAATAGAGTGAGCAGATTGTTATTTCTATTTCTCTGGCTGGAGAATGACTTGGGCTAATTTAGGACAGGATGGGAAATACTTCTGATTCTTGATACCAGCATTTCAGGGAACTGAAAGAAGTGGAAATAAAGCTGAATGTCCCAAAAGTACTGGGACAATAAGGAAAACACACTGTCAAGAATGGTTCTGATCATTCTACTCAGAACCTAAAGATTTAAGTATCTTTTATCAGCCTATAAAAGTAAGTAATTTCCAAACATCCACTACAAAAAAAGTAAAGCATCACTTACCATGAGCCAATATATTTAAGGCAATGTTTTTCAAAGTGTAGTTTACAGACCACCTGCATCATAATCATTCAGCATGCTTATAAAAAACACACACCTCTAAATCAGAATCTCTGGAAGGCCCAGGATCTCCCCCTTTAACATACGCCCTAGGAGATCCTTAATCAGTCTAAAAGACTGAAAATGAATTTTTTAAGGTAAATCAGAAATAACAAGGCAAATACCACATACGTATACTCCTTTGAATGTTTATTTTTTTTCCTTTGAATGTTTAGAGCAGAAAGAAAATTTCTCTCCCTTCTCCCCACATTTTAATTCCTCCCTCTTCCATAGGACCCAAACTAATCAATCATATTGTATAGTTTCTTTCTAGTAGGTTATAAATCAATGCTTTCATTTCCACTCCTATTGCCTTATGCCAAGACCTTGTCATCTCAAACCTGGATTACCTTTTCCCTTAAAAATCTTTTTTCTTCCAGTGCATCTTGTATACTGGACTAATGCTTGTAAGCCCCCATTTTCACCTTCTCTTTCTTTTGTACAAAAGCATCCAAATGATTACAAAACAAAGTTCATAATGCTTAGACTATCAGTCAGAATTTCCCACAATATGACCCTATGCTAAATTTCCAGTCTTATTGCTCATAGTTCTCCCATACTAACCTTCAGTATTATTAGCTAAACAAGATTTATTGGCTTCCTGTGTATGGCTAAGGCTGCTAGATGATCACCAGATATCTTCTCCTTCCTGAGCACAATTAGACTAAATTTCCTAGTCTCCTTCATTGCTTGGAATATATAACTGACCATGTAACTAAATCCTAGCCAACAGAATGTAAGCAGACTAACCTACGCTCAATGCAGTATCTAACATACATTGTTTATTCCTACATATTTTCTTTGGCTCTTTTCTGCTGGAAAGTTTTTTTATAACGTATCAATCTCGGTTCAAGTCCCTTTCCTTCTTCTTCAACCACTCAAGCTCATAGAAGTCTCCTTCTATAATACATATGGTGCTATGCCATTTATTACACATTTAACCCAGATTATCTTGCATTTTTTAACTTTTTGTGTAAAAATATATTTTCCCCATTCCTACTACAAACTCCTTAATGGAAGGAAATGTTCTTCAAAGATCTGAATATTTCC